GGGGGGGGGGGGGGGGGGGCAGCGGAGCTGCCTGGGTGCTAGGTCCTAGGAGCCAGCTGGAGATGAGAGGTAGGAGGAAGGGGCAGTGGGCGCATGCAGTACAGCTCACCCAGGTGGTGTGATCTGCAGCTACCCCTGCAGAGCTCCACATGGAGCTGAGCCCTACCCAGGGCAGCTGGCACTGTGCTCCAGCCTGCATCCGCCAGCACATGCAGCTTACTGGCAGGGCTGCATGTGGCTACTGCTGAGCTCCTCTAGCCACCAGCAGCAGCTCCTCTTCCTGCTATATTGCTTTGGGCAGGGAGAAAGCTTCACCCAGGCAGCTCCTGCCCCAGCGCACAGGTCTGCAGAAGGCAGCTGGGAGCTGGAGCCAAAGCCCCAGGCACTGGGGCAGGAGCCACCTGCCTGAAGCTCCTGGGTAATTTCCACCCACTCAGATGCCCACACTGGGAAGGTGGAGTGGGTGCAAGGCAGCTGGAAGCTGGCCCAGAGTGGCACAGCAAATGCAGGAGTCGCCGCTAGAGGCAAGGGAAGCCAAACAGCAGCTGCTTCAGGAGCAGCCCTTCTGGTAAGCTATGTGTGCTGGCTAGGACTGAGCTTGTGGGCATTGGCTGCAGCACGGTGTGGGCTGCCCTGGGTGGGTCTGGACCCCATGTGAAGCACCACAGGGACAGCCATGGGCCGGATCCAATAAACTGGTGGGCTAAATCTAGCCCACGCGCCATATTTTGCCCACCCAAGCCCTAGATGAAGGTGAGAACAGGACCACTGTTCCTCATGCTCAGAGGGGAGGTTGGCAACAAGTAACATGACATTTTCTTTACCTTCAAAGCACAAGAAGTTGCTCCACAGTGCACTCTTCTCCAATGATCCCAGGGCACTTCAGGGGCAGATATTTTTTTGCTTATTGCAGCAAGCTTAAAACATGAAGTACAAGTTTCCTGTCTCAACTACGGGTTCCATTCATTCAGTTTTCTCTTACGCACCATCAGTTCATGAAAAGTGATCTACATACAAGGACATAAATCAGACAGTTTAAGCCAGACGGCCCAAAACATTTTTAGACCAATGTCAACCTTCCAGATTTCTTGTGGACAATACCTCCCTCTCTTAAGAGTCAGGGCTTCCCCAACACATCCCTGCCACACACACAGAGACCAGAGTGGTGGTCTGTCAACCTGTACCAAATGGTCTTCCCTTGGCTCACCCTTTTATGACAGCTGCACTCTCATATTCTAGGGACATGCCTGATGCATTAAGTCATGTGGCAAGGAAAATACCACACTACAGTGCTGAGCCTGAGCGGTGTACCAGTGAGTGAGGCACACAGCAACCTGTAGACCACTTATCATGACATCAGGGACCATCAGTGGTCCGCTCAGTGCAGCTAGGGAAAGCACTAGTTTAAGCCGTACATTTAGCTGTTTAAAACAGCTTTTAGAAAGGGGTACATTACAAAAAATCAGTGAAAACACATACACACAAGCTTGCAGACCAAATCTGAACTCTGAGCCAGGTGAAATGGAGCAGTCTGGTCCCCCTGACCAGGACATGGACCCCATAAGAGGGGCAGGAGAACAGGAATCAGTTCTATTTCCCAAATCCCATCCCCTGTGACAGCTGCTCAGATAGATGGCTGGTCACAGAAGGAAACAATTTTTTTTGTTAAAACAAAGAGAGAGGGAGAAGGGTTTCTAACCCCTCCTTTCCTACATACTTAGTAGGTACGGAGAGTGTGACTACGTGTGCATGTCTGTCGGTCACTGCCGCTGTCTCTTTGCGTGCACCTCTGCATATGCGCGTGTGTGCACGTCCATTTCTGTGCGTCTGTCTGTCTCTTTGTGTGTGTACGTCTGCCCATCTCTGCGTGTCTGTCTGTGCATCTCTCTACCTGTCTCTGTGTGGATGTCTGCCTGTTTGTCTGTCTCTGTCAGTATGTACACGCGTGTCTGTTTGTCCATCTCTGGGTATGTCTATCTGTCTCCATGTGTCTATCTGTTCAGCTCTCTGTGTGGGTGTCAGTCTGTCTGTCTGTCTCTGTGTGTCCGTCCACCCTGTGTGTCTGTCCGTATGTGTCTCTGTGCCTGTACGTCCATCTGTGTGTCCAGTTCTGTGTCTGTCTGTCCATCTGTCTCTCTGTCCAGTTCTGTGTCTGTCTGTCCATCTCTCTCCTCTCTATGTGTGTGTCCATCTCTCTGACCCTCCGTCCGTATGTCCATCTGTGCCCGTCCGTCAGGGGGTGACATGCAAGGACACAGCCCCGTACCTATCCCGATACGCAGGCCGGGGGGCGAATAGGGGACAAGCACGCGCCCCATCCCGCCCGCACTGGGAGGACCCCCCAACGCCCCTCTCCCGCCCATCCCTCTGGCCACACCCCCTCTGCCTCCTTCAGCCCCCACTCGAGCCGCTGAACCGCCCGCGCTCACCTGCCGCTGCTCTCCGTCTCATGTCCCCAGCTCCGCAGCGCCGCTTCCGCCCAGCTGGTGCACGGCCAGCGGTCCGGACACGCTCATCCGCCCCCGCCGCGCGGCGCCCTGGGAGTTGTAGTCCCCGCCCCGCCTTGGGGTTCTAGGAAGCCGGCTCGTCTGTCGGCCGGCCGCCGCGCAAGGCACGCTGGGAGCTGTAGTTCGCTCCCCGGGAAGGAAAAGGGTGTGGCGTGCGCGCTAAGCATCATGGGACTCTCTCTTGCTATCCCCCACCGTCTCCCCCAAGGGTTCCAGGCGCTGGGCATGCTGGGACTTGTAGTCCATCCCTGCTTGGGTTGGTGCACGTTGTGCAGCTGCACTGTGAGCCCATACCCAGTGCATCCCCTGTCAGGGACCACGCGTGCCCAGCCCCCCTGCACCCGCCCGGCTTGCTCCATCCCCTCAGGGCCACTCTTGTGCAACCCTGTAGTTCCACCAGCCACATGCCTTAGACAGGGAAATGGCCACATTGGGCAGAAACCACTTTCATAAATAAATATGGTTCTTTTTAAAAAAGGCTTTCTTGTTTAGGTTGAGCTTGGGGCATGTTTTCATGCTTCCCTCTGCCAACAACAGGGCTGCCGTTTTACTGTGAAGGAAAGTGGTGGCTGTCCCATGTCCAAACAGGCTGGGGGGATTGAGACAGGCACTGAATGTATTCATAACCAGTGTTGCCAACTATCATGATTTTTGGCAATGTTCTTAAAGTGTATGCTTTGGGAATATGACTTAGCTCTTTCTATATATATATATATATATATAGAGAGAGAGAGAGAGAGAGAGAGAGAGAGAGAGAGAGAGAGAGAGACTTTAAGAATAATGCCACAGGTCATGAGAGTTGGCAACACTGCTGATAACTTAAAACTAGAAAACTGGGCAGCAATAACACTCTCTCCTTCTCTCTCTCTCTGAGGAAGGCCAGCGCTGTTGAGATCTGTTCTGTGATAGAAGCCGGACTCGAGGGGATCGCCTTCAGACCTCAGGTTGGGGAGGACTGAGTTAGAGAGCTTCTGGAGGGGCTGGACGCGTTCAAGTCAGCGGGTCCAGATGCTCTCCACCCCAGGGTGTTGAGGGAGCTAGCTGGGGTTATTGCAGGGCCCCTGGCACGGCTCTATGAGCGATCGTGGTGCTTGGGCCAGGTGCCAGATGATTGGAAGGTAGCAAATGTGGTCCCCATCTTCAAGAAGGGGAAGAGGGAGGACCCGGG